TAAGACAATACTCACCGGGAAGTGGGTCTTCCGCGTGAAGACAAAGGCGGACAGCACCATCGACAAATTTAAGGCACGCTGGGTTGTACGCAGCTTCGACCACGAACACGGACGTGACTTCACCGAGACATTCGCCCCAGTCAGCCGACACACCTCGCTGCAGATTCTCCTCGCAATTGCCGCCATGAAGAAGAAGAAGCTGCGGCAAATTGACGTCGCCAACGCATTTCTCTACGCACCTGTCGACGCAGATATCTTTGTCGAGTTATCGCACGGCTCCAGCACGGACTCCAACCACGTCTGCCAGCTACTCAAGTCGCTCTACAGCATTAAGCAAGCCCCGCAGCTATGGCAACAATATCTGCAGGCTCGCCTCATTCGCATCGGATTCAAGCAACTACCGCATGATCAGGGCATGTACCGGCTCACGAAAGGCACCGACTACATCCTGCTAATCGTCTACGTGGACGATCTCCTCTACATCGGCTCAACCGGCGGCGTCACCACCTGGTTCGAAGGGGAGCTACAGAAGGATCTCACGCTCACGGTCTCGTCCACCGTCACACAATACCTCGGCCTCAACATCCAGGAAGAAGAAAATGCGATCTACCTCAGCGCCGCGAAATACGCCGACACCATCGCCAAGCGCTTCGCTCTCACACCAACTGCCATCTCCATGCCATACCGCTACACGGCAGGTTACCACAAGGAAGGCCACGCTCTACTCAAGCCCACCGGCGTACGGGACTACCAGAAAAAGCTAGGATGCCTCCTCTTCGCAGCTGTCACCTGCCGCCCGCATGGATCTATCGTACTCTGCAAGCCAGCTCGCCACCTACCTCAAGAAACCTGAAGCGGAACATCTGGCAGATCTCGACCGCGCTCTTCACTACCTCGTCAGCACCCCGACGATCGGCTTCACCTACCATAAGAACGCAACCACAACGCCTAAACTACCGTAATCTCCCGTATATAGGACCCGGGGGTCTTATCAAATATGCTGTAAAAATCATTTAGGTGAACAATACCAAACGGCATTTTTATTAAGACCCATGAACATCATAAAATTTCCAAAAGCAAGGTTAAATCTAACTCGTTACAAAAACCGCCCAAATTCACAAACACGATTCAGTTTCGCAATGCCGCGTATTGGCATCTTGACTGTGTGTTGGCCCAGATTCGGCCGCACGTATGCAAATTTGGGCGTGACGGCGTGAATTCCAAGCACCGCTGGCACGGCGATGCCATCCTCTACCTGCCAGCACCTGACTGCGGCCCGTTGTGGCATGAATCTGGACAGGAGAGAAGATTCCTCCGTCCAGAACGGGCGATGCCTGCCCTGTTGGCTAGGCCACCTGATAGAGACGTGAGCGACTAGGGCACCAGGTCGCTCACGTCCCTGATACCCCCGCTTCCAGAGGGGGGTAGTCTCAGAGAGTGGGGCTCATTGTGGCGTTTTGGCACAGCGTTCATTCTTGGAGCTCCCTCCCTTGTCTTAAGAGATGTTCGTTTCTTGCCGTGCTCAGCTAGAGCCTGCTTACGCAGGCAACTTTCAACATGTCTGCCCTCGAGATGTTGCAGGGGATGAGGGATAGGAGTGCTGCGAGGGCGATTGCTTCGTTAGCGAACGCGCCACCAGCCCCACCGGCACCTCCTACTCCTCCGAGTCCTCCTACGCCACCTACGCCACCTACGCCGCCTTCCCCGCCAGCTCCACCGTCACCTCCTGCTCCACCTGCACCTGCTGTACCTGTGCCTCCTTTCCCTTACCCGTTCGAACCGGTGTATGAAGACGACGTGTTTCCTACGCCACCCGCTTCTGTCGACGAGTCTCTCGCTGCTGACACCAACGCCGATGACGACGAGGACTCTAACGAGTCTATTCCCGCCTTTCCTGTGCCTGAGTTCCCCCCTGACGTCCTTCACGATGAAGAACCGTCAGTAATCCCCCGTGATTCTATGAACCCCGAAGCCCGCAACAGGGTTACGCAGCATCGTCGGACATCGCGGACAATGGCCGAGAAGGCAGAGTGGCTCAGGCGCATGCGCGAGGAGCACCTGACAGTGCGCGCGACGGCACGGATGGCCGGCGTTGAACCCATCAGCGTGCGCCGGTGGAAGAAAGCGGAGGAGCAGATTGCATCTGCTGCTGGCTGCCGTCGTCGTCTCGTTGGTGGCGGGAGGCAAGCCAAGTACCCCGACATGGAGTTTTCGGTGTACAAGCAATTCCTCTCCTACCGTGCCCGTGGCCTGGCCGTGCCGATAAAGCTGCTACAAACCTGGAGTCGTTCGTCGATGAAGAGGCGCCACCCAGACGTTGACTGGCGAGCGTCGCCTCGGTGGACGCAGTGGTTTCGCGCACGTTGGGGACTCACCATCCGAGTGAAGACCAAGATTGGGCAACGCTTAACCAAGGGTGAGTTAATGCCTGGTTATAGTGGATGTTTCCTATGCCCAAATCATACGTCTCACGTCCTCATTTGCTGCTCTGTCACTGCAGATTGCAAGCCTAAGTATGAGAGCTTTTGGCGCTTCTGCCGCAAGCAAGTTATCCGTCACGGCATCGACCCCTGGAACATGGTCAATGCTGACCAGACGCCAGTGTTTCCGGAGATGCCGTATGAGCGCACGCTGCACCACCGTAGTGAACGCACTGTCCAGATTCGTAGCGCCGGCTACGAGAAACAGCGCATGACCGTGATGCTTGGAGTCACGGGAGATGGACAGAAGTTGAAGCCGATGGTGATTTTCAAGAGGAAGACCCTCCCGAACGTGCGTGTCCCTCCAGGTAATGTTTCTACGTTTGATGTCGCCTCTCAATCGTGAAAAATGACTAATCTAGTCTCTGCCATGTTGCAGGGATGCTCATCCGAGCTCAAGAGCGCGGCTGGATGGATTCCAGCCTTGTCATGGACTGGGTGCAGAATGTTCTTCTTCCTCACACCCGTCCCCCCCCCGGAGTGATACGGTCCAGGACCCTGCTGGTCCTGGACTCGTATCGCGGCCACCTGACCGAGGCAGTCCTCTCGACGCTGAGGTGGCAGCGCGTGGTTCCTGCCATCATCCCTGGCGGATGCACTCCCCTGCTGCAGCCCCTCGATGTCGCGATTAACCGTGCCTTCAAGGCACGAGTGCGCGAGCTGTACAACGAGTGGTTTTCGACCGTCGGCATCGACTCTTTCACACCTGCAGGTAAGAAACATGTTTGCACCTTCCGCTACTGCTGCTGCTTGTTCAATGAACACTTTTCTGACTGTGTGGTTATGATTGTATTGCAGGAAATCTGAGGAAGCCCCCTGTTGATGCTATCCTTAAGTGGATAGCAGATGCATGGGCGGCGGTCCCTGAAGACACCATCACCCGCTCGTTCAAGACATGCGGCATCAGCAACACGCCTGACGGGCGCGAGGACCACCTGATCCTCGCGCACATGCGCGATGCCGCGCAGGTGGAAGTGCACGACGACGTGCATGCTGCTGGCGATGTCGAGGAGTGGATCAATCCACTCTACGCATCTGGTGCCCAGGAGGCTGAGGAGGCTGGCGCTGAGGATGACGAGGAGGAGGACGAGTAGGGTGCCACGAGAGGCAGCGGAAGTTGGCGAGTTGTGAGATGCAAGGGAGGCTGGCGGCCTGGTTAACTAGTACGTAGGAGGAGGTAGACAAGTAGGTAGGATAGTTGTGGTAGTCGTAGCAATTCTGGTCCCTAAGTGTGGTAGTCATTGCTAACAAGACATCAAACTAGAGGAGAAGCGCATAAAACAGTAGAAAAATCACAACTTCAGGAAGGGGGGGGGTCTTATATTCATTAATTAAAAAAGGGGGGTCCTCACGAGAACAGGCCAGAATAAAAGACCCTTGGTCCGGAAAGAGGACCCAGGGTCTTCTCCGCGGGGGGGTACTGTATCCGGGAGATACGGTAATCGGCTACGTCGACGCCGATCACGCCGGCGACTCCGACAACAGGCGCTCACGCACCGGCTACATCTATCGGTTCGAACCTATCGGACCTATCTCCTGGCAGTCGAGCAAGCAGGAGTTAATCGCCCTCTCCTCAGCTGAAGCAGAATATATAGCACTCTGCTCAGCCACCAAGGAAGGATTGTACCTTCGCGAACTCCTGGAAGAAGCAAAGCTGGCTCAGTTACCCAGCTTCACTCTGTTCTGCGACAACCAGTCGGCAATTCGCATAGCCAACAAGAACGGCTTCGCGAACAGGACGAAACACATCGCCCTGCGATACTTCTTCGTGAAAGACGAGATCGAGAAAGGGAGACTCGAGCTGTCATACTGCCCCACGTCCGAGATGGCAGCTGACTATTTGACCAAGAAGCTCGGAAAACAGAAGTTCGAGTACTGCATGCTGCTGACTGGACAAGGCCACGTCACCAACAGCGACACTTCAGAAGCGAAGGGGAGTGTTGGAAACAATTAATTCTAAGCGCATCCGTCGTGTCTGTTCACCAAGTCACAAGCGAAGCAAGACATATCGAGCACCAGCGAGTCAACCCTCGGAGGTTGAGCAGTTGCTGGAGGTTACGCGAAAGTCAAAGGTCAGCGACCTTTGACCTGACAAGTACAGCGCGACAGCAAGGACACACAACTGACTCGCTACAGAGCAGTTGCCCGAGTCGTCACTGTATCGAACCGCAACAGCAACAGTAAATCGGTTATTGAGTTGTAACCTTTGATATTCCTTGTACTCTAAAAGGCTTGTATCTTTTTGTTTTAATCAATCTACTTTGCCCTCACATACTAGCGCAAGGTGTTTCAAATACATCTTATTAAGCTTCCGCTATTGCAACAAGCTCTACCTAGAGTTCACACCTGCAAAGATCCTAAGGGCTTTCTCAGCCGTGCCAACAGAAATAATACTCGAGAGAACTCTCAAGCTCAGCTCACCAGTTCTAGTACCGTGGGACAAAATTGCTGGGAGGTTATCTTATGCGGGCGCTTACGGCAAGCACCCAAGTGTGCAACACGGTGTAGCTGAGCGAACAATCAATGGGGAGCACAGCGAGCCACGTGTCTGAGCAGCAGAGGCACGAGCTGGATGTGAGCTGCTTCTCCCACCTGGCAGTACACCTGCAGGCCTATCGTCGAGTCCGAGTGATCCCCTCCCCCTTGCACCTCCGCTGTTCTCCCAGCGTCTGCCTCCCCGCCTCCGCCTCTCCCACCCATCACACCCTCTGCCATGCTACTACCCTTGTCACCCCCGTGCCTCTCACTGCTTCCACCATCCAGAGCGCCAGTGGGCTTCCCCTGGGTGGGGTGGTGTGGCAGCGTGTGCCACCACTCACTCACACTGCCGCACAGCCGACCACCCCCACCACAGAAGCATGTCAGCGACAATTCCACCTCGGCCCCCTCTACACTCCCTCCCTCCTCCACCTCCCCTTTCCCCCCTCCCCTTTCCAGTTCCTCCCCTCCCCTCTCCATTTCCTCCCCTCTCTCCACACTCACTTCTAGCCCGCACAGTGGGAGGCATGCAGCCATGCCGAGCCCTGATTGGTCAACGGCGAGGAAGTGGGTGGTAGTGAGCAGGAGCAGCGGGCGGCGGAGCAGCAGAGGGGGGATGTCGGTGCTGGTGGTGGTGACGACTGCCGTGCTGGCATCCACGTGCGTGAGGTAGCTGGAGGGGGCATCGACCAGGAAGACACGGGCAGAGAAAACACGGGCAGAGGAAAAACGGGCAGAGGAAACACCGGGCAGAGGAAAAACGGGCAGAGAAAACACGGGCAGAGGAAAAACGGGCAGAGGAAACAGAATGAGAGATGGGCGGTGAGAGTGCTGGCCAGTGATGCTGGGGGTGGCAGGGGGCTGCAAACGTGTGCATGAGGCCACACAAGCTTGCAGCGAGTGTGCAGCTGTGATGGCGACAACATGCAGACAGTTGTTTCACGATCATGGCATCACATGGCCCATGGCAGCAGCACCACCACGAGTTCAGCCAGCTGGAAGGAGAACTCACAATGCTTGGGGGGAGATAGGAAGGCAACTCACAATGCTTGGGGGCGCGGTGGCCACAGGGGAGGCATGAAGCGGCTGGCAGCACAGCGCACGCCCCTCTGCTGCACCTGCCACAGCAACGACACCTGCCGCGCCTCGCCCTCCCTGCATCGCCCCTCCCTGCCAGCAGCACTGCCATCCCTGCTGCCCCCCGTGCTGCCCACCTCCCCAGTGCAGGTGGCAGGCGTGCCACCATGGTCTTCCCTGCCCTGCGCTGCAAGTGGCACTGCTGCCCCCTCCGCCTCTGCGCCATGTGCGCCTGTCGCACGGCCAACAGAACCAGCCCCCGTGGACCCCGTCGTATGCTGCGCTGCAGCCTGCCCGTGCTGCCGCCTCTCCTGCTCTCTGTCACCACTCTCGCTGTGGCCCCACCTGCCTGTGCCTGGATAACTGCTTTCTGTCAGGTGCTCCTGCTCATGCTCGTGCTCGTGCTGCGAATGGCGATGGCAGTGGCGGTAGTGGTGGGGAAGGCGAGGCCTGTGCGCCAATGAGAGTGTGAGCCGCACGCGGCGGTGGTGCCCCACAGCCAGCCCCATGCCACCATGCACTCCCCCACCGCCTCTGCCTCCGCCACTGCTGCCCGTAGCAGCATCACCACCTGTCACGCGATGGTGACCATTACCACCAGCTGCACCTCTTCTGTTCCCATGTGCACCACCACTGCCGCTCCTATGCTCCCCCTCGCCTACCAAGCCCCTGTTGCCACCTCCCCTTTCTCCAAGGTACGCGCGTCTCACAAGCCTCCCAACGCTGGAGGAGAAGGCGGAGAGCGAGGCGGCGGTCCACTGCGACACGTGGCGCCACGCTGCCAGTCCCCCGCGCCCCACGCCCAGCAGCAGCCCGTGCGGCCCCGCGTGCAGCGAGCCCTGCACCGGCAGCACCAGCAGATCGCGGCACGCCGCGCGCACGCTGTGGAGCAGGCCCAGCGGGTTGAGCAGCAGGTGGTGCGAGGCGATGACGCGCGGCACACACAGCAGCCCCTCCGTTATGTAGTGCGCTAGCATGGCGTGCATCAGGGCAGCTCGTGGGCAGAGGAGAGACGGGAGGTGGAGTGGTGCGAGCGTAAGCGGTGTGGCGGTGGTGTCGAGAGGGAGGGGGGAGGAAATGCGGAGAGTGAGGGAGAGAGTGAGGGGGGAGATGCGGCAAAGGCCGAGGAAGATAGAGGGGGTGGTGGCGAGGGCGATGTCAGGCAGGCGGTGGGGCGGAGCGGAGAGCAGATGGTGCAGGGCGAACAGGCGGATGAGAGCTGCGTCTGATGAGAGCAGCGCGGCAGAGGGCAGCACAGGGCGCCTGGCTGGGGAGCCTTGTGTGCTGCCTTGCACACTTGGTCGGCTATCACTGTCTGTTCCTTGCATGTGCATCTGCCACGTGGTATCATCTGATTGGCTGCTGCTCTGCATGAAGGCGAGGGCGATGGGCATGTAGTGGGTGAGGGCGGAGAGCAGGCAGTCATCAGCGCATGCCTCCACGTGCCCCACGCTCACACACACCGCCTCCACACCTGTCACATAGCTCACCCGCTCCACTCCAGAGTTGCCCTCATCTCTCATGCTCCATTCTCCTCTCAACTGCTGCAACGGGTGCTGTGACAGCACGATTTCTACCTGTACAGCCTGCACCTCTTCCTTCCCCCTCTCCTCTCCATGCCCTGCTGCTGCCACCTGCTTCTCCTCTTCGCCCCACACTTGCCTGCCCCCTCCTCTCTCGTTGTCTCCTCTACCTCCCGCCTCACCCTTCCCACCAGCTGGCGAGCCAGTGGTGGTGAGGGTGGGAGAGGAAGGGCGGATGTTGAGGAGGAGAGGCAGAAGCGCGCCAGGCAGCAGGTTGTGCACCTGCACTGACCCCACACCGCACTGCACCGCATACACCACCCCCACCGCTGCTGGCGCTGGTGGTAAGGAATGCATGTGCATGCCACGTGGCATGCTGTGACTGGCTGGTCCGCTGTGAGCACCAATACCGAGCAGGGAGAGGGAGCGGGGAGGGAGGAGGGAGAGCGAGGCGTGCAGGGAGGAGAGGGACGCGAGGCAGATGGCTTTGGCATCACAGAACAGACTGTCACTCCCATTCCTGTCACTCTCATTATTGTCTCTCTCATTATTGTCACTCTCGTTATTGTCTCTCGCACTGGTATCGTTTGCCTTGTTCCCAAGCAGGTGTGGCTCGGAGGCATGGCGACGCAGGTCGTCCCAGAGGACGAGGTGGAGGGAGGGCAGGGCGAGGCAGAGCGTGTGCGACCGCAGGAGGAGGTAGGTGGTGGGGTGAGGCGTGGGGGGAGTGAGAGGGGTGGAAGGGGAGGCGGGGGAATTGGGGGATGCAAGGGAAGGTGGTGAGGAGGGCGAGTGGAATGAGCGAGATGGGGAATATGTTTGTGTGGTTGGGTGCACATTTTGCAAGTGGCTGGGAGCAAAGGCACCGTGCAGCTGCTGCGGTGAGTCATGGCGCATGTCCTTGGTGGATCCGAGCTCTCGCTGCACACCCACGTGCAGAGCAGCAGGCGGCAGAGGCGCCATGGCAGGGGGTATGCTGCAGGCAGGCAAGGACAGAGCGAAGGGGCTGGAAGGGCGAGAGGCGGCATGAGCGATGCGGCACACCGTGGTGGCACCCTCCCTCCACACACACACGTGCAGCAGCACCGAGTGCCCCCCGCCCTCCACCGCCCCCCTGCTGCCACCACACGGCACGTGCAGCAACAGCTCCCCCTCGCCCTCGCCTGCTCCCTCCCCTCGCCCCAATGTGATGGGCTCGCTCCACTCCCGCGCCCCCTCTCCCCGCACGCAGATGCCCCCCGCTGCTGCTCGCGCGCCTGTGCTCCCCTGTGCCACGCGCCCATCGGCTGAGACGCGCTGAATGTGGGCCATGAGGGCATCGTCCGCCTCCTCGTCCAGATTCAATGCACCGGGTCTTGGTGCATGCGCATGTCTGTGCTTGTGGTGGTGCTGTGAGCGGCCATGCCACTTGCGCTTCTTAATGGGCATCCCCCCCACCACCCCCGCCTGCATCCACTCACTCCCCTCACGCCTTGCTTCGCTTGCCCCACTGCCACTCCAATCGCCGCGCCTTGCATCGGCAGCACCACCATTGTCGGCAGCAGCAGCAGCAGAGGCAGCAGCGGAAGAGGAGGCGCGGAGAGGCAGGGAGGCAGCATGGAAGGCAAGTGACCTCCCCGCCCCCACTCGCGCTACGAAAGCCTCCGCCTCATCCGCCACCCCTCTGACGTCCACACACACGCCCGTCCCGTTCTCAATGCGCCACTGCGGCTGCGGATCCACGTGCACCACCAGGTGTGGCTGCCACGTGGCGCCCTCTGATTGGCCGGCGGAGGGCAGGAGGGAGGCGGTGAGGAGGGCGGCATGGCAGGTGCCAGAGGGGTCGGGGAGGAGCAGGCGCTGTGAGACAGCGAAGCGGGAGAGAGGCACGGGGGGCGACCAGAGCAACGCGCATGCGGGCGAGGGGCGCACAGGTAGAGACGATTCGTCGTGTAGTTTCTCATTGGCACACACTGTTGATGCTGCTGCTGCTGCTGCTGCTGCTGCTGCCCCTCCTGCTGCCTTGCCTCAGCAGCGCATGCACGTGCCGCCAGGCCCAGGCGCACTCCTCCCAGCGCTGCCAGCCGCCTCTCCCACCCGTCCTCCACTCCACCTCTTCTCACGCCTTTGCCTCTCGCCTTCCCCCTCCTCCGCCCCTGCTTCTGCTTCTGCCGCTGCTTCGATGCGCCACCACCATCCATGTCACCATCATTCCCCTCACTCCCCCTCTCACTATCACTCTCACTGCTGCTGCTGCTGCTGCTGCTGCTGCTGCTGCTAGTGGAAGCAGAGGAGTCAGAACGCATAGAGGGCGAGGAGGAGAGGAGGGGCCGCCAGGGGAAGAGCGTGAGGGGCAGGCAGGTGGCACCGGGGGGACACAGGCCAGCCGAAACAGGCAGGGTGGGGGGGGCGTGGTGCAGCGACGATGCACGCAGGGCAGGGGGAGGGGCAGGTGGGGGATCACCGAGGAGGAAGTGGAGGGGGAAGGGCGTGCGGTTGGAGAGCAGAGCGGCGGGCAGCACAGAGAGGTGCGTGGTGTGAGCGGGGAGTGCACAGGTAGGCTGTGAAGTGGCGGTGGGAGCAGAAGGCGGGTGGGGTGATGGGAGGGGGGTGTGGGAGATGTTGAGCAGGCAGTGCAGGTGAGAGGGGCCGTGTGAGCTGAGAGTCACTATGGACACCCGCTCACTGCTGCCCGTGCTCCCCCACCTCCCCCCCTCCGCCTCCCCCGCCCCCCTCACCAGCACTGTAGACGACCACGCCCATCCTCTTGGCTCCCCCTCCCCCTGCCCTCCACTCCCCATCCCCCCGCCACTCCCCATAGATGCCTCCAACCCTCCTGGCACCCCAAGACGCACTGACCACCCCCGAGCCGGCCTCCTAGGCTTGGCACCCGGGCCTGATGCAGAAGTCGGCGCGGAACGAGAGGAGGCAGCAGCAGAGGAAGCCGGGAAGAATGCGGAGGGCGCAGAGGAGCGGGAGGGGGAGAGGAGGGCGTGGGAGAGGGCGGGCCAGGCGAAGGGGCGGGATTGGGAGGGGGGGATGATGAGGTCGGGGCAGGGGGCGTCGTGCAGAGCAAGGGCGAGGGGGAAGGGCAGGTGGTTGTGCACCACTGCCACCGCGTGCAGCGAGAGCAGCAGCGTGGGTAGGGGTGGTGGCAGGGGCGCATCGGCTGGTAGAGCAGCAGGTGCGGCAGCGTAAGCACATGGGTGGTGAGAGGGGCGATAGTGTGATGCTGCCAGCACACAGAGGAGCCGCTGCTTTCACAGAGGGGCAGGGGAGGGATGCACGGGAAAGAGAGGGGAGACGGAATGAGAGACACACACAAAGGCTTACTGACCTCAGTGGAAGACGCTTGTGTGATGGGACTAACGATGCTGTGCAGTGCGGTGCAATGCAGTGCAATGCGGCGAGAAGCAGCAACTGGTGGATGCTCACCTCGCTATCTGCCTGTGGAAGCCACACAGCACGCCGCTGCCCCACAGCTGGGATCAGCGAATCACAACGCGCCACATCAGCACTGCTCGCCTCTTCCTCCTCCCCCCCTGCAGACCAATCAGGGATGTCACCCCGACAGCTGGCAGCGACAGTGACCGTTTGCTGGTGGGGCCCAGCAAGGGAGAGCGCGAGGGGCACGCTCCACAGGGAGGCTTCAGCAGCAGAAGGATGTGCATGCGGGTGGAGCAAGGCAGCAGCACTCCAGCTGCCATTCATGCTGCTGCCATGGCTGCTTGGCGTGTGGGGTGCAGCAGTGGTAGGGGGGCTGTGAGGCAGGGCCAGCGTCAGGGCACACTCGCCCCACACGCCGCCGCCCAGAGCCACCTCCTCCGCCGCCCCCACTGCCACCTCCTCCGCCGCCCCCACTGCCACCTCCTCCGCCGCCCCCACTGCCACCTCCTCCGCCGCCCCCACTGCCACCTCCTCCGCCGCCCCCACTGCCACCTCCTCCGCCGCCCCCACTGCCACCTCCTCCGCCGCCCCCACTGCCACCTCCTCCGCCGCCCCCACTGCCACCTCCTCCGCCGCCCCCACTGCCACCTCCTCTGCCTCTCCATCGCGCTCCTGCTGCTCCCGCTGCTGCTCTTGACAGCCCCCTGGCTTCCGTTCCTGGTGCCCGCCTTCGCTGCCGCTTGCAGTGAGCGCGCGCAGCAGGGGCAGCAGGCGTGCGCGGAGGGGCAGTGGCAGGGCGTTGCAGAGGAAGGCAGTGGGCCAGAGCTGCACACACAGGGGGCCCTCCCACGCATACAGAGACGCTGGGGCACTGGAGGGAAGCGAGGTGAGGAGTGAGGAGGGAGAGGGAGCTGGGAGGGGGAGGATGGAGGAGGGCGGAATGAGGCGCACCCACACACTTTCTCGCCCGTGTGGTGGCGGGGGGAAGGGCGGCCCGTAGACGGGAACACAGGCATCAGCGGTGAGCAGGAATGTGAGCGGGCAGCCATCACTGCCATCCACCGCTGCTGCCACTCTCGCCTTTTCCACTGCCGCCTTCTCCGATGGTGCTGCCATCGCTCGCCCACTTCTCCCACCCGTAGCCCCCCCAAGCCCTATTCCCGCGTCACTCCCAGACGGCAGGCCAAGGTAGCGGGGGGCAACAGCAAGGGGCGCGGACCAGCGCCCCTCGCTTGCCAGGCGGACGCGCAGCAGCAGAGGTGCACTGCCTGCCCTGCCAGCCCTGCCAGCCCTGCAAGCGCGCGTGCCCCTCTGTACTGCCAGCACCTCGTCCCTCTCCTCTGCTGCCTCCATCGCCCCTCCCTGCACTCCCTGCATCTCCACTCCCTCTGACTCCTTACCCCCGTTCACATGTGCATCCCCTCCCAAGCCCTCCCTGTCACCGCCCCTCCTCCCTGCCACCAGCACGTGTGACACATGCCCCCTGCCACCCTGCACTCGCCCCTCCACCTGCACTCTGCATGATTCGCCCTCCCCTCTGCTGCTGCTGCTGCCCCCCACTGGCAGCACAACGCCCCGCATCTCCACTGCCAACCCCTGTCCTGTATGATTCGATATAAGCACATTCGGTGTGAAGAGCACATGCCCTATGCAACCACGTTTGGGAGTGATGGTGACAAAAACGGAGGCAGCGAGGTGGGCGTCTGGGAGCACAGGGACAGCGAGGAGGAACGAGTGCCGCCCACCTGTGTCCACCTCAAAAGGCGCCGACCAATCGCAGCATGCCACGCCATCTTTTTCACCTGCTCCACGTACATGCATCTCCTGCTGCTCTCCCCCTCGTTCCACGACCCATCTACCCCCTTCCCCGCTCATCCTCTCCCACTCCGTACCTTCTTTCCCTCTTCCACCATCCCTTCCGTCGCTCCTACATGCCACCTCTATACCGTCTCCCTGCCCCCTTCGCTCCCATTGGCCAATGCGCGCACGCAGCTGGCACACGGCGCCCGGCACAAGCGAGGGTGGGCGGCGCCAGCTGTAGCCTAGCGAGCAGCCGGCCGGCAGGGAGATGGCCTCTTGGGTGCCGTGCTGGCCCAGCTGGAGCAACACAGGGCATCGGTTCTCCAAGGTGTACCCGAACAGAGGAGAGGATGAGGATGCGAGGATGGGAGGAGAGGAGAGCGCCTGTGATTGCACTCCTCCTTGATTTCCACTCTGCACGCCTTCTCCTGCCTCTGCTGCACTGCGCTCATTCGCCTCGCACCTACCCGAAGCCAACCCCTTCTCTTCACTCTCTTGCACCCTCCCATGCCCCTTCATCTCCTCCTGCTCAACCTCACCCCTTTCCTCCCTCCTCTTCCCTGCTTCCCCCATCCCCCCCTCACCTCCTCCCACCTCGCTCTGCCCCGTGCCTGTCTGCCCTCCTCGCCCCGTCCATGCGAGCAGCAGGCGGTGCAGCGCTCTCAGAGACGCCGCCCTCACATGCACCGTCGCACCGTGCTCCTCGCCCCCCTCGCCCCCCTCGCCCCCACTCCCACTGCTGCCCCTGTCGCCTGAGTCACAGCCCCTGCCATCGCTTCCGGCCTTGCCCTGCCCACTGCCTCCACTGCAGCTGCCCCACGCATGCCCCCCCGCGTGCACCGCCACTGCCATGCCCAGCGAGCAGGGCGGCGCATGCGGGTCTAAGGGGTCTTGCAGCGGGCACGGGGCGAGGGGCGAGGAGGGCGGGGAGGGGGCGGGGTGGGAGGAGTGGGCCTGAGGGGGAGAGGAGGGCTGGCGAAGAGGTGAGGCGGGGTGGGGAGGGGAGAAGAGGGAGGAGCGGGGGGGGTGGCGGGGGTGGCGGGAGAGCAGAGCGGGCGACCAGAAGGGCTTCCACAACACGTTGAGGGAGGCGCGCAGGGGGAGGGGCTCCAGTAGTGGCAGCTGAGCAGAGGGGAGGAAGTGAAGAAACGAGGGATGAATGTGAGGAGCAGGAGAGGGGTGAGGGAATGAATGGCGAAGGAAAAAGCTGCCCTGTTGAGAAACAATCCCAGTTGCACCCAATGCATGTGGCAAGCCAACCCATCTGCACACCTGTACTCTCACGCACCCCTTCCCCACGAACCTCAGAGAGGTCGTTGGCATCAACAGCATCGGCGCACACGGTGGCAGCACCATGCACCGCCCACATGCGCGTGCTCCACAGGTGCACGCACACCCGCACACCCTCCCCGCCCACCACCAGTGCCTCCCTCATCCGCCCCTGGCCCGCATCCATGTCCTCCACCACGCGCACCTCCACCAGCCGCACGCCCAACCCAATGCGCAGGAACGGCACGAGGGGCGGCGAGGGCAGGCGCGGGCGCGTGTGGGGGCCGGCGCAGGTGGGGTTGATGAGCAGACGGGCGAGCAGCAGCGAGGCGGGCAGCACGTGCGTGTCCAGCGGGGCGTTTAGCATGGGGCCCGCGGACAGGGCTGGGAAGGCACGTGGCGTGCCCTGCGTGGCAGGGGCGTGGGTTGAGGCGGCAGCAGCGGTGGCGGCGGCAGTGATGGTGGCGGCAGCGGGCGAGCCGTACACAGTGGAGAGCAGAGAGAGCGCCCCGGTCAGCGAGGCAGAGGGGGCACATGGGAGCGCAGAGGAGGCGGCATCAGCAGCGGGTGCGGTGGGAGCGTGCATGGCAGTGTGAGCGTGGTGCTGACCCACGGGTGTGAAGGGGTGCATGACGTCAGCGGGGTTGAGCGGCACGAACCACGAGAGCAGCCACAGCTCCGCCTCGCCCTCCCCCTCCGCCCCCTCCGGCTCCAGCACTACGGGGGGCCACGCGGGGCACGCAGGGCAGGTGGCGTGAGCGGTGTGCAGCGTGCAGGGCGAGGGGGAGGGCGGGCAGAGCACGGGGGGCAGGGCGTCGAGGAAGGCGCGGCGGACGGGGTCGAAGCGGGCGAGGCGCAGCGCCACGGCGGGCAGGCGCCAGGCCAGAGGGCCGGCGAGGAGAGGCGCTGTGATGACCAGCTGGTGCACTGCACGGGGGTAGGGGTAGCTGGGGGGGAGGATGGGCCATGGAGGGAGGGGAGTGGGGGAGGAGGCGGATTACAAGTTTATGTATCGCTGAGCAAGGAAACCAGGTGAGGAGGGAGAGGGCGGGCATATTTTTTAAGAGCAGATTCGTTCAAAGGTACGGCCATGTGATGATAGGTGGGGGGTCCCAACATGGCCAGATTCGATGTTAGTTAAAAAGGCTCACTGAGCGAAGAAAGAAAGAAGGAAGAAACGAAAGAAAAAACATGCGAGGCGTGAAGGGCCAGCTCGTGACAGGCCAAATCAGGTCCAAGGTCTTGCTCATGCCATGCCATGCACATACCACCATGCACATACCGCCATGCACATACCGCCATGCACATACCGCCATGCACATACCGCCATGCACATACCGCCATGCACATACCGCCATGCACATACCGCCATGCACATACCGCCATGCACATACCACCATGCACATACCGCCATGCACATACCGCCATGCACATACCGCCATGCACATACCGCCATGCACATACCGCCATGCACATACCGCCATGCAACCCAGCCTCCCCCTAAGCAGCTGTTGCTGAGCGGCCTGTCCCTGCTGGCAACGCCCTCGCCCCACACCACTTGCCCCGCCCCCACCTCCTCCCACCCCGCCACCCCGCCCTGCACCCTCCCCCCCCTCTGGCTGCACTGAAACGCCCCGCTGCGCAGGTCGTCACTCGGCGCTCCACCCGGCACGTGGCTGCCCGGCTGCACATGCGCCAGGCGCACGGCCCTGGCTGCTGTCCACGCACCCCGCAGCGACCTGGCCAGGCGGATCAGCGGCAGCAGCACCTTGGGGCACAGGCAGGGCGCGGCGAAGTCCGTGTGTATGGTGAGGCGCAGGGGGAAGGGCGTGCCCAGTGCTGTGAGGTGCAGTGCGGTGGTGTGGGCATGGGTGAGCAGCGTGGGGCTGGAGAGTAGGTCGGTGCTGAGCAGACGCACAACAGTGTGGGCCGACTGCAGGTCGATGGTGGGGATGAGGAAGGGCGGCAGGGGGCAGTGCGAAGAGGGGTGTGAAGGGGAGAAGGAGGGGGAGTGGGTGGTGGGTGGCATGTGGGGGGGGATGATGCGGCCTGGGCAGGAGGCATCGTGGGTGCCTGCGAATCGGCGGATGTCATGCAGTGACGGCACGAGGGAGAGGGTGAGCGTGCACCTCTCTAACTCCACCGAAACCCCTGCTCCTCCCTGCACACCCTCCTTCTCCTCCTGCTCGCCCTGCTGCTCGCCCTGCTGCTGCGCGTCCCCCTGCCACGGTGGGTGGGGTTCCGGGTCATCGTGAGCGACGAAGTGGGAGGAGATGGAGAGGCGGGACAGGCGGGACAGCGCAGAGGGGGACGACACAGAGGCGGCCGGTGGGGAGGATACGCACGGCTTGTGGGCGCGGGGCGTGTCAGGGGTGGATGGCCCTTCACACCCTTGCGATGCATGAAAGGCTTCGAAGGCTGAGAGCAGTGAGATGAGCGCGCCTCCACTCGTCACCTTCACGCCCCACAGCCGTGCCACCGGCACCGACCCTCTGGGCGGTGCGGCACTGCCCTTTCCCCCAGGGGCTGCGTGCTGCTGAGCGTGATGCTGCTGTGCCGTGTGTGAGCCGTGTTCGGGGGGCATGCCTGGCGAATGGTGGGTGGTGGAGGAGCAGGCAGCAGGGTCTCTCCCTGTGTGCCGAGCAGACGATTGCTGTGGTGGTGGCTGGGGGGCGCGCAGGCGAGGGAGGACGTCGTACAGCGAGGCGACGACCTGTGGGCGGTGGGCGGTGGCAGGTGTGGTGGAGGTGAGAACAGGGAGCAGAATGAAGGGCGGCCAATGGTGACTGGTGCAGAGGGAGTGCAGCGCACAGGGGTTTGATTGGATTGGAGGAGGTTTGGTGTGGTGGAAGGCAAAAATGTGATGAGAATGAGAACCACGAATGCGGCAGACAGTGCATCAGCAGAGGTGAGTCATGCATTTCAAATGCGGCAGCTACAGCACTGAAGTCACAGGCAGAAGCGAAAGGAAAGAGAGAGAAGAGGCAGAGAGAGCAGAGGGAGCAGCGTGCAGAGCAGGCGGGCAGTCACCTCCTGCACGAGCTGCGCATCAGCCGCCACCATCAAGGGCTGCGCCTCCACCTCCACCCACCCCCGCCCCCTCTGCTCCCCCCCGCCCTCCCCCGCCTCGCTCTGCGCCCTGCCTCCCAGTCCCCCCGTGCCGCCACCACACGGCCTCTCCTCCTCCACCACTCTCCACGTCATGCCGGCACGGCTGGCTGCAGCAGCAGCAACAGCAGGGGGGCTGGTAGGGTGAGGAGGGCTGTGGGGCTCTGAGGGCTGCTTGGGGGGCATGCTAGGCGGGTGTGCTGCTGTAGGGGAGTCGTCGGGTGGAGGAGTGTAGGAGGGGTGGTGAGGGGCGGGGGGAGAAGGTGGCGAGAGGGCAGTGTGCGGCAGGGCGAGCAGAGTGAAGCGCTGCTCCACCACCCTTGCGGGGGCAAGCCCTGTCGCCCCCACCCGCGCACCTGCCTGGCGCCTGCCCGCCCTCACCGCCTCCACTGCCACTCGCCCCACCCTGCCATGCACCACCGGTGGTGCTGCTGCTGCAGCAGAGGAACAACCAGGGCGCGAATTGCTTGTGAGCAGCAGGAGCGAGGCTGAAGAGGCAGAGAGGTAGCAGTCGGAAATGGTGGCGTGGAGGTGCGAGGAGGCACGGAGGGCCGCGTGGGCGCCATGGAAGGCGCTGCTGACTGCCGGGGGACTGGCTGCTGCCGCCCACAGGGGCACGGCCGCTGTGCACTCTACCACCCGCATGCTGACACGTGTCACTGCACCGCTGGCACCACTGCCATACTTGCTGACACCGCTGCTGTTGCCTTTACCCATGCTTCCCTGCCTGCCCTGCGTGCATTGCTGCGTGACGACAGCAGTGGTGGCAGGTGGGCGCAGCAGAGGGAGCAGCGCCGTGGTGAGATGGCGGCGCAGCAGCAGCACGGTGTCGACCTGGTGGCGTGACACAGTGACGCCCACCCGCTCCACCTGCAGTGCACTCACGCGGGTGGTGGGGAATGCAGGAAAGGGGGCAAAAGCGAGGAGGGTGAGTAAAGTGGAATTGCGGAAGAATTGGCGCTCAGTGAGGAAGGCTGCAGGACAGGCGAGAGGCACTTGGGGATCAGTGGAAGCACGAAATGCCTGCAACTGAGAGCTGTGGAAAGGGAGGTAAAAGGCGAGGAATAGCGGAGAGGGAAGCGAGGGCGTATGTAGCACCCACCAGCAGGTCAAGAGCAAGAGCCTGACTGTCATCGCCTGGCCCATCCATGTGCTCACTGCACTCGCACTTCTGCCCCTGCTCATGCCCGCATTGCTGCTGCTGCTGCTGCTGCTGCTGCTGCTGCTGCTGCTGCTGCTGCCCTGCCTGCTGCACCGCCTGCTCGAACGGCCCTGCCTTTCCCCCCCCCACCGTCACTCCCTCCACCTGCACCAGCGCACCCAGGCCCTCTGAGCCAATCGCACGCAGCCACGTGTCCGCCTGTGTGCTCCCTGCAGCGCCTTCACTCCCGTCCACCGCGGCAAGGGGCGTGGGGGCAGGCGAGCAGGGCAGGCACGCCGTGCCCAGGTCCACCCACACACGCTGCACACGCACCACAGGGGGCTCTTCCCCAGCGCTGCTGCCACCCTGCCCCTCAATCAAGCACACAGACACCCCTCTCACGCCCGCCCGCCCCACTGCCACCCACAAGCCCTGCCCTCCCATGCCCTTCCCCCTCGCCCCAACGCCTGCCCCGTCGCCCCCACTGCATCCCTCTCCACTGTGCGCGCTGCCACTGCTGTGGCCCCTCTGAGCCCTGCAAGGGCCCGCCACGAAGCTCACACTGCCGCGCTGCACCGCTGCCTGCACCACGCCCAAGCCTGCTGTGACCTGCGCTGCTGCTCCCACTTCCCCCCCTGCAACCTCTCCCCTTCCTCCTCCTCCCTGTCCCCCTCCACCTCTCCTGTCTGCTCCACCCTCCACGTTTGCCCCTGCTTCTCCTCGCCCCTCTCCATTCCACCTGCCTGCACCGCTCTCCACCTCGCCCTGCTGGGCTCTCACCGCAGTGGCAGCAGCCAGCAGCGCGTGCAAGTGCACAAGTGGGTCGGCCCACACCACCAGCATGACGTCACCCAGGTGCAGTGTGATGTCAGCACCACTTGCAGCAGCGCTGGTGCCTGGGCGGGCGTGCTGCGGCGCAGCAGCGTGAGTAGCTGGTGGTCGCTCCGCAGGGCGCACGGGTGGGCGTGGGCGCATGGACGAGTGCAGGCACGCGGATACGGCTGCTGAGGCAGGGGGTGACGGCTGTAGGGAGAGGCTGGGGGGGTTGGGGGCAGCGAAGGATGGGCGCATGTGAGGGATGGGTGGGGGATGAGGGACGTGAAAATAAGGTGAGCAGTGCTTGGCATGTATGTAGGTGGTGAGATGCAGTGGGTTGACAGCAAGGATCAAAATGACGGTTATCGTATTATACGGTCCGTATAATACGGTCGTTTTATACGGCCCAAAAACCAAAAATACGCCGTATTTTTGATAGACTGGTTTCCAGATTTTTTTTTGTGTGTTTTTTTTTTCTTTTTAATCCTTTCTCCTAGCGAGGTTCTCAAAGGTACACACTACACTAGCCTAGCATAACAACAGCACAGAGTGTTACAACACAACTCTACCATTCCCACTACTACCTAACCGTCCACTACTACTCATTTCTCCTACCCTATCCTATCCTTCCCTATCTCTCTCTCATCCTCCTACCTGTAACCTCCTCTCTTCTTTACTCTTCCTCCTCCTCATCCTCCTCCTCATCTTCATCCGACTCCTCTTCCTCCCCACTAGACCCGTCACTAATGTCCCAAGGATCCGAGCCATTTCGAGCCTTGGTGGGCACGTCCTCCTCCTCCTCCCCTCCACTGCTATCCGCCGCCTCCTCCTCCTCACCCTCTTCCCCTCCCACAGATGTTGCCTTTCTCTTTCCCTTGGTAGGCTTCTTGGCCTTCCCGCCCCTCTGCCTCTTAGCGGCCTTAGGCACCTTCTTCTTCCGCTTCCCAATGTTCCCGAATAGGTCCCAATCAATGGTGCATAGCTGCTCATTCCCCTCTCCCTCCTCCTCGTCGTCGTCCCCCACTTCCTCTTCTTCCGCTGCTGCCGGTTCAACGGCACTCCCTTGCTTGAGGGTGCCGTTGGCCAGATCGGCATAAAGCTTCTCCCTCTCCCGTGATTTCCTATCGAAAGCATCCCTGGCCCTCCTGGCGAACGCCACCTCAGTCACGTCCATCATCTTTTTGGCGCTGAGGCGGTTACGGTCCCGCCTCTGCACCCGTGCAATGGCGGACCAGTAGCGTTCGACCTCAGAAGACGTGACTGGCTGTGACAGCACCGTCACAGCCATCCCCATGAGCGCTTGCAATTCCCCCCCATACATCAGCCACCACTCTGCCTCCGTCAAGCGCCCACTCGCCACCAGCACCTGCGCTGCCCAACGGGCATCATCGGACCCTAATCAGCCCCTCTCCCAAATGAAACCGCGTCAACTGCGCCAACAGCAGCGTGCGTTGAGCGACATCCCCCCCACGTGCCTGGATCACGGCTTCCGCCCCACGCCTTACCTCGGGATCGTTCTTCACCTCTCTGCCGTACTGATTGCGCGGGTTTAGAAGCCACCCCATAGCATGGAGTGGATTGTGGAGCTGGACGTCCCACCTCCTGGCTATAATAGCCTTGATGGCGGCAAGAAAGGCCGGCTTGTCTTTGGCCGGCAAGAGAGCTGTGCGTTTCAGCATCATTTTGGCTGCCCATGGGGAGAACGGGAGAGCACGAGGTGAGCACAATGTGCGGGAAGGGTATATAGTAGCCGTGAACGTGCAGCAATTCACAGCTTACCTGCCGCCTCTGCCGCAATGTTTGTCTTCACCGTGGCATCTAGCATGAGGCCATAGATCTGGCCCATGACTAGAGCACGGGTGTCAACCACCCGCAGCACTTCGTACACGGGTGTCATGAGGCGGAGGACCGCTGTCGCGCAGTCCCAAAAGACCTCATCCAAGAGGAGCAGGCGGACAGCTCGCCCCTCCTCAGACCGTGCCACCGCCACCGACTCCCACTCCTCACTAATCACCATCTCCTTGAGCGCTTTCTTCACTTCCAGGAAGCGGGTAAGCATGATAACCTGCGTGCCGAAGCGTGTTGCACCGGGCCGCACCAAGGACAATGTGCTAAACAACTCCTCGAAGAGCACGACGGCAGACGCGCTTCCCTTGACGATCATAACCACCCTGTGCACCTGGTTGAGCACCCGCCGCACAGCACGGACCTTCCCGATGTCGTGGAGCATCAGATCCAGGACGTGCGCCGCACAGTTGTTGAAGAAAATTGCTGGAAAACCGTCACGGAGAATGTCAGCCGCCCTCCGGTTGTTGCAGGCGTTGTCCATGACCACCTGGACCACGTTCGAGTCTCCAACATCACAGATCGCGCGCTGGATGAGACCGGCCAAGTATTCCCCCGTCTTCTTCGCGGTCTTGGAGTCCACGGTCTTCACGATGACAGGCGCCGTGTCATTGTGGGCCATGACACACACGAGCCCACGACTCTTCATGCAGGTCCAGCCATCCACGGAGAGGGTGCAGCCAGTAGTCTTCCAACTCTCCTTCAGGGGCCGTACAATGTCCGCGGTATCCGCTACCAGTTTTTGAAGCAGCACACCCGAAACCCTGAAGGGGGATGGGAGGGTGTACTGTTTCCCGAAGGCAACAGCCGCATCCGCGAAGTTCTGCACGGCTGGAGACCTGGACGTGTGGAACGCCCAGTCGTTATCAGCCACTGCAGCAGCCCATAAATGGTCCAGTCGAGCGCCATCCACCATGTCGCGGATGTCCCGCTGCCGTGCGCGCCAAGTGGGTTCGACGTCTAGGGTTGAAGTGGAGCCAAGGGTTGACAGAGTGGCGCTTCCGTCACGCTCATTAGCTGCTGCTGCTTCCGCTCGAAGTTTGATGGCGACTTCGTGGTCGCACGGCGTCACATTCTTCTCCTTGTCCTCCGGCGTCCCATAAATGTGCTCCCCTATGCGTGTTGCGTTAGCAGTCACGGATTTGTTGCAGTGCACGCACTTCGCAGTTAGAGTGCCGCCTGGTCCCTTAGCCGTCGTGACGTGCTTCCACAGTGGCGATTTCTGCCTCGCCATGGCTTATGTCCTGCCACACTAAAGACTAGACTAGAGCTCTGTTTTGAATATGTGCAGGAGTGACTAGACCAATCTCCTAAGTACCAAGTAGAGGAAACTGGGGGTGTTGTGTCGAGTGGTGTTGCGGAAGGGTTGAGTGCACGGGAGGTATTCTGATTGGTTGGATTGGTTTCGCATCGCGGGTTTTGTACGTGTCGCGCATGCGAGCGACAAAAACATCCGCTGCGCGAAAATGTTAACGGAAAAAACGAAACGAGGGAGCGAAATTTCAGATTTCGCCAAATGTTGAAATGTCGCGCAACGGGTACCAGTACGCGATGCGCTTCGCGACTCGGGAATAAAACACATTCCAGTGTACGGATGTCAGAGAAATTTGAGTTTCGGCGAAACTGGCGCATGAAATTCAGTGATCCGATATACACTGATTTCGTTTCAAAAATACGGTCGAATTATACGGTCGTATTTTTGAACCAAACAAAGAATTAAAAAATACACCGTTTTAAACCGTTTTTTACGGTCGTATCATACGATTCCGTATTATACGACAGAATTTCAATAATTCGGTCGTAATTTTGAACCTTGCTGCCCCCACACTCACCTGCTGCCCCCACATTCACCTGCTGCCCCCACATTCACCTGCTGCCCCCACATTCACCTGCTGCCCCCACATTCACCTGCTGCCCCCACATTCACCTGCTGCCCCCACATTCACCTGCTGCCCCCACATTCACCTGCTGCCCCCACATTCACCTGCTGCCCCCACATTCACCTGCTGCCCCCACATTCACCTGCTGCCCCCACATTCACCTGCTGCCCCCACATTCACCTGCTGCCCCCACATTCACCTGCTGCCCCCACATTCACCTGCTGCCCCCACATTCACCTGCTGCCCCCACATTCACCTGCTGCCCCCACATTCACCTGCTGCCCCCACATTCACCTGCTGGCCCCACACTCACCTGCTGGCCCCACACTCACCTGCTGGCCCCACACTCACCTGCTGGCCCCTCACTCACCTAAGTGCATGCAGTGCCTCCACCGATAACGACTCAACGGACAGTGTGAGTGACGTGTGCCGTCCAAGCGCCTGCCCTCGCACCTCCGCCACCACCGCATGCGGCAGCCACGCCTCTCGCTGTGTGGGGCTGGCGGGCTGTGAGCGGCTGCTGCTCCACCCCCCTGCCAGCGCCAAGCGGCTCACCCGCACATGGCAGAACGCCCCCACCTGCTGCTGCACGTGCTGGCCGCACCAGGGGGAGTCGTTGGGGGGCTCTGTTGCTGCTGCTGACGATGATGGTGTTGAGGATGAGGATGCCACGTGGCTCCAGGTCGACACGACATCAGCAGCAGCCTCCAGCACACGTGCGTGCTTGGCCACGCCCTGCAGCTTGCTTGCTGGCACGGCTGGCATGGCGGCACCTGCCTGCTCTCTTGCAGTTAACCCTGCCGTTGTGCCGTGTGGCTCTGCTGTTGAAGGCGTGGCGGCAGCGACGCGACCTGCACTGCAGCTCGCGTCTCTGAGGGCAGCAGCAGCCATGGCGAGCAGCGCAGCGGCCTGCGTGCGGGAGACATGCAGAGAGAATGCATCCAGGCTGGCCTCCACCGCACCCTCGCCCCCCTCTCCCAATACATAGGCATTACGGTGTGTCGCCCCACTTGCACCCCATTCGGGCCCGTGTGGCAGCGTGACTGGCACTGCTGGCAATCCAGTTGAGGGCGCTGCTGCTGCCACTCCTGCCTGCCCTGGTGGTGCTGCCGGTGCTGCTGGTGGCAGGGATGGGTGTGGCGAGGGGGCAGCAGCATCGGCCCACGTGCAGTCGACACGGAGAGAGGCTGGGTGCAGCAGAGTGGTGGAGCAGAGCTGCCATAGGCGAGGGGAGAGGGCGTGCACGGAAGGTCGGAAATGGGCAGGGTGCCGGACAGAGAAAGGTGAGGGGAAGACAGACGGGGAGAGTCCATATGTCCTGTAAACTACAAGAATGCAGCTGTAGCTCTGCAGGCTTGATCGAGTGGAGGGCAGACGCGTGAGGGGGTTCGTTACAAGGGATGGAAGGGGGAGGTACCTGGGCGTTGTCCAGCCAGTGCATGTGTGCGTGCAGCGTCACTGTCACCCGCGCCCTGCTGCCGTCGCACGCCCTGCCATCCTCCCCCACCCATCTCGCTGGTCTCTTCCACACCGCCACTCGCCCCGTGCTCACACTCACACCCTCGCCCTCGCCCTCGCCCTCGCCCTCGCCCTCGCCCTCGCCCTCGCCCTCGCCCTCGCCCTCGCCCTCGCCCTCGCCCTCGCCCTCGCCCTCGCCCTCGCCCTCGCCCTCGCCCTCGCCCTCGCCCTCGCCCTCGCCCTCGCCCTCACTCTGCATCTGCTCCCAGCTGTTGCACTTGCCCCCACCACGGCCGCCAGCCACACGCACAGACACGCCGTCCACACCCACCTCGGCGCTGCTCACACGCGCCACGCGCTGCAACCACCCACCACTGCCAGGGGACGATGTAGGGGGGCCAGGCAACCGCGGTGAGGAGGCAGTGGGCAGGGCGCTGGGCTCGTATTGGCCCACCCGTTCCTCCCCTCGCACAGCCCCTTGCGCTGCCCCTCCCCCATCCGCCCCTCCACCACCACGGCATGCGTGCACGTCCTGCCACCACCGCAGCACAGTGCTGGCCATGCCCGGCCAATAGGAGATTGCCACGAGGCCCACGTGCAGGGAGAGGCTGACGTCAGCAGTGAGCCCCAGCGGCCCGGCAGCCTGCGAGGCTTCAAACGCCTCTGCCACTCGCACCCCGCGCCACCACACCCCCTCCACACTCCACCCCTCCTCATCTTCCTTCCCTCCTCGACCCGCACTACCCCCTGCTGCCCCTGTTCTTCCCTCCCCGCCAGCACCGGTGTGTCGCTCTCCCCCTGCTGCTGCGTGAGCGGGCAGCACGGCACCCAATGGGGCGAGCGAGTGCAGCAGCGGCGCCTGCAGGCTCCCATACGACCCCACCGCGCCCTCCCCTCGGCCCCCCACTGCTGCCACTCCTGCCTCGCCTGCCAGCTGCCGCGTGTGCAGGCGGAGAAAAGGACGGAGAGAAGACGGCTCCGCTGCTGCGCTAGGATCTGAACCACCTGAGGAATCAGCTGTGTTGACCTCGGCACCTGAAGCGGCAGCTGAAGTGCAGCTCCCTGGAACTGCCACAGCCAGTGCCACGGCGCCCACCTTTGCACTCGCTGCCTGCACCGCCCTGCCCCGCCCCTCCGCCTCCACCAGCACGGCCCCGAGCCTGCACTCCAGCTTCGAATGGCAGGCTGGGCTGGCAACGCCCGCATCCAGGCTTGGCAGCGCGGCTGCGTCGTGCCATTCCTCTGCGCTGAGGTGGAGGGCCTCGCTGTTGGAGCACACAGATGCGCCGCCACTGCCATCCTTGCCGCCGCCACTGCCATCCTTGCCGCCGCCACTGCCATCCTTGCCGCCGCCACTGCCATCCTTGCCGCCGCCACTGCCATCCTTGCCGCCGCCACTGCCATCCTTGCCGCCGCCACTGCCATCCTTGCCGCCGCCCACGCTGTTCACAAGAGACAGCTCGGCGCCCTCCAGCATCGCAGCCACGGACCAATCAGTGGCTGCCACGTCAAAGTGCACACCTGCCTCGTATCCTGTGGCCCACTCCCAGATCTCATCACCCTCCAAGCCACCACCCGCTGCTGCAGCAGCAGCAGCAGCTCTCACTGACAACGCACTGTGCCCCGTGGCTGCCATGGCAGCGCTTCTGCTCGCCTCGTCCTCCTCCTCGTCCTCAAACAGCTGCTGCACCCACCCTATGGCGCGCCCCATGCTGTGAAACAACCCCCGCTTTTGTTGCCCCCCCTGCTGCTCCGCCTGCTGCCCCCCCTGCTGCCCCCTCTGCTGCCCTCGTTGCTGCCACCCATCCATCATTCCACCCACCCTTTCCTTCGCTATCTTTTCTCCCTCCTCACTTGCTGATACCAGAGGCTTCTCAGCTGCTTCTCTTGTCCCACCCATCGCATTCCGGCTGGCATCTGTGCCATCGCCATGCCCGCCTCCCTCCTCCCTTCCACTCTCCTTCTCTTCCGCGCCCCCTCCAACTGCGTCCCCCCCTCTCTCCGCCCCTACTTCCTGTGGCCCCGTGCCTTCCCCCCATACCTGCTGGCACGAGTGTGCGACGCTGAGCAGAGCAGCGAGGTGCGAGGGCGAGGCGGAGAGGGCGAGGGGCAGCAGGCGCAGGGAGAGGCAGGCGCGCTGCGGCAGGGCAAGAGCAGCACAGGGCGGGGTGATGGCGATACGCGAGGTGAGGGACACAGCGCAGAGGAGCGGCACTGGAGGAGAGGGGGAGAGGGGGGAGAGGGGGGGGTGTTGTGGGCGTGGAGGGGGTGGTACCAAAAACAGGGGGAGTGGGTTTGGGAAAGTGGCATGGGCCAGTGAGGTGATGGCCGAGGGACGTGAGAATGGCAATGAGTGGGTGCATGGTGAGAAAGATTGATCCAAATGGCATGCAATGGCTCAAGGACTTGCCACAGGTACAGTGGCATACAAGGCAAGCGATGAGTGACAGATGGGGGAGCAGAACGAGGGCTAGCGCCTGCATGACAGGAAAATGGCTTGCATGCTATCATGAGGGCATGTGCCATAGCCTTGCTCCACGGACCTTGGCTGGCCTGACACGTGGCGTTGTGTGATTGGCGGGATGTACTTGCGACATCCACAGACAGGCCAGTAACCTCCAGAACCTTCCTCACGCCTTCCTCTGGTGGCTGGGAAGGATGTGAGGAGAGGTGAATGCGTGTGCGTTGCAAGGAAGGCCACGAGGGCTGAGGGGCGCTTGGAGGAGGAGGGGTGCAGTGTGACACAATGCCGAGCAGATCAGATGCAAGAGGAGGCATGGGAGATGCATTGTGCAATACGTGTTGTGCAGTGCTATGGGCTATGGCCCATAGCCCATAGCCTATGGGTGGCATGTCATGCATGCTGCCATGCTGGCACGCCTATGCGACCAAAAGACTGGCATGGATCGATAGGAGAAGCAGCGCAGCAGGGCGAGGGTGGGAGCAGGGCGCACCACAAAGGCAGGGGTCCAGTCAGGTGCAGTGGAGTGGAGGAGGAGCTTATCGCAGCGCAGCGACAGCACAGCAGAGGGCGTGGAGTACTGCAGGAGCACGTCCGTTACAGTCACACTCGCGTTGAGCACGGTGTGGTGCAGGAACGCCCGCAGCCCCCCCAGCGCCAGCAGCTCCGCCAGCTCCTCCCTCGCATGCCCCGCCCCGCTGCTGCTGCTGCTGCCCTGCGACGAGTGTGAGTCTGAGTCGCTGTCGCTGCCACCACCGCCCTCCTCCTCGTTCCCTCCTCCATCGCCCCCCCTCTCGCCCCCACCACCGCCCCGCTCACCCTCTTTTGGCCCCATCCCCTGCTGCCATCCACCGCCCCCCCAAATTTCCCTTGCACCCTCCTCGCCCCCCTTGCCACCGCAACTCCCCCCACTCCTCACCCTCTCCTCCCAGCCCGTCCCCTGCCCGTCATCCCCCTCCGCCCCCTCCATTGCCTCCACGTACAGGCGCACGCCGTGCAGCGCCAGTGCCACGGGCTGCGAGCCCAGCGCGGCCCAGGGGATGGTCACGCGCAGCTCGCCCACCCACGCGCGCCGCACCGCCACGCGCACGTGCGGGGGGACTGGTGGGGGGTGAGCGTGGGGGAGGGAAGTGGAGGGAGGGCAGGATGGGGAGGGGCGGGGTGGCGGGTTGTCGTGCGTGATGGGATGGTGTTCGCCGCATTGCATTAAGAGGGCGGTGCGTGGAGCAGAGAGGGGGGTATACGGGGGTGTGGCACGCTGGCAGTGCCATACACATAGGGTCGAGGGGAGAGGACTGAGGGTAGAGTTTCAAGTGCGGAAATGGCAAGGCGCCGCTTGCTGCTAGCACCTCTTTTTTTGCCGTCGGTCTTCTGAGTATCCCCCTCTTGCCCTTGACCCATCTCACCATGAAGCGGTTTTTCCTCACGTCGTGCATCTGCCCCCTCCGTACGCCGCACCTGGCAGGTCGCACCTGGCAGGTCGCACCTGGCAGGTTGAGCTCGAAGTTGCGGAGCGTGAGGGAGCCGCCCGACAACGACACGCTCAGGTCGGACGCCGCCGCGCCGTCGGCGTCGCGGATGTACGCGCGCAGCACGCGCAGCAGCACCTGCGCGCAGGGCGGGCGGCAAAGGGGTGGCAGACAGAGGGAGGGGGGCAGCGGGGAGTGTGGCAGCGGGGAGTGTGGCAGCGGGGAGTGTGGCAGCGGGGAGTGTGGCAGCGGGGAGTGTGGCAGAGGGGCGGGAGTTCCGCGGAGGTGGCTGATGAGCGATGGCGGGAGAACGAGTGACCGGCGTGACTCGTTGAGAGGGGGGAGAGCGCACCTGCGATATGAACGACGACGCCATGGGTAAATTCCACTACAGAGCGCTCCGTTACAAGCACGTTGGGACGTGGGATCTCGGCAATCGCCGAGAACCGCCCATCAAGGCAGTTTTACTAATCGCGCGGAAAAAAGTGCGTTCGCGTCGGACAGGTACGGGAAGTGGACGTGAGTGCGTGGGGGGCGTGGCAACCGCCATGGTCAACGCGCGACAGCGCTGGTGCTGGGCGGACGGAAAGTGAACTAGCACGCGGCGGCACGAGATGAAATCGAAGTTGGAGGCTGAAGGACCAACGACCAGATTGAAACGGTGCAGAACGGTGGAATTAACTTTACTATAAATAACTTTACTACTGTTATGACTGCAATGAATGAGCGAGCGAGGATTGCACTATTGAAGAAAACAGTACAATGAGGTGCATGAGCGAATTGTTAAAGCTCGCGTCTCATATCTCTGCCATCCAACCAAGTGTTTAACGGTTGGAATTCGGTAACAGCAAAGTTTGTCGGTCGCAAAGCACACCAAAGCAAGGGGTGAGTTGGCTGTCGCACACTTCCCGTGCAAACCAAGCGTTTATTGCTGATACAACCAAAGGATCCAGTGGATAGGATAGAATCTGTTAAGCCTGAGAGGAGACAATGAAGTCTCTGTAATGACCTTGTTGAATAATAATGAAAGTGAACAAGATGATTAAAAGATAGGAGTACAAGAGATTAAATAGAAATCTAGCTAGCCATGTACTCTGAGGGGTACATTCCCTTATTAACTGTATTGCATAGCTACAGTAACCACGACTATTGCTATTCTCGACAGTTACCATGTTGCAGTCGATTAACTGTCGCGCGGTTACTGGACCGTCAAGGGTCACGACCGTTGACTTCCTTGGACGGTTGACCTTCGGGTGACCCTCGACATTCCGCGTGCTCTATATGAGCTATTGCGGTATTGGTACAGTGGAACAACTTCGGGAATGTTTATATAACCTTTCGGTTATTCCAACATTTATGAAGGTGGGTTCCCTCCAACACTCCCCTTCATTCCTGAAGGTGGGCCACGTGGGATTTCTTGGTGATCCCGCAGAGGTCGGCGCAGTGCTGGTACTGCTGACGTGGCAGTTTCTTCGTCAGGAAATCAGCTGCCATGTCACCGGTTGGGCAGTACGTCAGCTTGACTCTCCCCTTGTCGATTTCGTCCTTCACGAAGAAGTAGCGAAGGCCGATGTGCTTGGTGCGGTTGACGAAATCGGGCTTGTTCGCGATCTTTATCGCGCTCTGATTGTCGCAGAGTAACGTGAAGTGCCTGTTCATCGTTACTTTCGCCTCTTGCAGGAGGTCCATCAGGTACAGTCCTTCGCGAACAGCTGCGCTGGCTGCGATGAATTCTGCTTCAGCTGACGAAAGGGCGATGAGTTCCTGCTTCTGGGAGTTCCAGGAGATGAGTCCAGCAGGTTGGAGTTGGAAAATGAATCCTGTGCGGGAGCGTCTGTTGTCAACATCTCCAGCGTGATCAGCATCTACGTAGCCATGGAGCTGCAGAGTAGCGGTGAGGTTAGCTTCGTAGGTGAGGCCGACGTCGGGAGTGGAGATGAAGTACTGCAGTGCTCGGCGTAGATCTAGTAGATTCTCCCCTTCAGGTCGCTTCAGGTACTGTGCGAGCTGGCTTGCGACGTAGGAGAGATCGGGCCGGCACGTGACGGCGGCGAACAGGAGGCAGCCCAGCTGCTGTTGATAGAGACGATGATTGTCGGGAGAGAGCGGTGTGGTGTCGGGTTCGTGATTAGGAGGAGGAGTGCGATAGGGGGTGGTGAGGTTGATATGAGCGATGGCGAACCGCTTCGCGAGTGTTTCGGCGTACTTGGCGGCGGAGAGGTGAATGGAGGAGGCGGACTGAGTGACGTTGAGGCCGAGGAATTGCGTGACGTTGTGATTAACAGTTACTTCCAGCTTCTCCTTAATGTCAGCCTCAAACTAGTCCAGCAGCTCCGTGTCGTCGCTGGTGTAGAGTAGATCGTCGACGTAGGCGACGAGGAGGATGAATTTTCCGCGCGACTCCCGCCAGTACATTCCGAGGTCGTGTGGCAGCTGAGTGAAACCGAGCTCGAGGAGGACGGAGTGGAGGTACTGCTGCCACAGACGAGGAGCTTGCTTGATTCCGTAGAGAGACTTTTGGAGGAGGCACACGGCGCTGTCATTTTCTTCGAATGCGTGCGGCTGCTCGACGAAGATGATGGCATCGACGGGAGCGTACAGGAAAGCGCTGCTGACGTCGATTTGCCAGAGCGGTCGCTGTTTGACGGTGGCGATGCAAATGAGAATGCGCACCGAGGTGTGACGGCCGACTGGAGCGTAGGTGAGAGTGAAATCCACCAGGTGAGTTTGCTCAAATCCCCGTACCACCCAACGCGCCTTGTATTTGTCGATCGAGCCATCGGCGAGAGTTTTGATGCGGAAAACCCATTTGCCGCTGAGAATTTTCCTCCCCTTTGCCGATGACCGTGGGACCAGCTTCCAGGTGCCGCGCTTCTTCAGCGACGCGATTTCCGTGGCCAAGGCTGTTCTCCATTTGTCACTGTCGGGACCAGACAGGGCTTGGTAGACGGTGGTTGGTTCCTGGGGCGAGGTGTGGCGAACAGCGACGGCAAGGCCGAGAACCCGAAGACCGGTTTCGTTGGTCTTTTCGTCGTGAAGGCGGTCGTAGTCGTGGAAGCTGGTAACTTCGACCACGTCGTCATCACTGTCGTTGCCGAGGCGGAGGGTGTCCTGCGACGTGTTGGGTTGTGGTAACTCAGCATCAGGTGATCGGCGTGCTTCGCTGTTGTAGTCATGAGCCTCTCGTGTTATATCGTCAGGATCGGGTTGGTGTACAGGTACGAATATCGGAGTCCCGAATTGACTTGTGAGGGGGATGTTCGGAGCAGAGTCCATTGGGGTGACATCAGGTGCGTCTGCATCCTCGGCCAGGTCAGCTTCGTCGTGTGACGTGGCGAAGCTGCGGTGGCCCTCGAAGAGCCTCTCGGGCAGTTTGTCGGCTTCCTGGTGCTCCTTGAAAAGGGGCAGAGTCAGCTTCTCGTAGAAGATGCAGTCACGTGATTTCGTCACCTCGTGTGTCGCGTAGTCCAGCACGATCCACGCCTTGAATTCTTTTTCGATTCCGAGATGGATGCCCCATCGTGCTCGGTCAGCAAATTTTCCCGTCCTTGCAGTGTGGGGTCTGTACTGTACCATGCAGCCGAACACTCGAAGCAGACGTGTATCTGATTTTCTGCCCGTCCATGCCCGGAAAGGGGAATTGTTGTCCTTGAGGCTTCGCGAGGACAGCAAGTTGTGCAGCCGAACAGCGTGGTTCATCGCAAACGGCCAATATTTGGTTGGGATGGCCGACTGCTTCATCAGGGCCCTCATCCGCGTGGCGAGGCTCCTGTTTGTCCGTTCTGCTACGCCTTGCTGTTGGTGAGCGTAGGGCAGGGACACCAGGTGCTCAATCCCCTCCTGCTTAAAGAGCTCCTTGAACTCGTCTGAGAAGAACTCCAGGGCTCCGTCCGTCTGCCAGGCCTTGAGTTTTAGCCCAGACTGTCGCTCAGCCCGCTTCATCCACGCAATGAAGCACTCAAAAGCCAGTGACCTGCAGTCGGTGTTAATGGCCCAAATGTAGCGCGTAGACGCGTCGATGAAGGTAAGAGTGTACTGCTCCCCATCGAGCCCCTCTAGACTGAGTACCATGAAATCGCAGTAAACCTTATCCAGCAGCTTGTAGCGCTCGTACCCCGGAGGTAAGTCAGGGAATGGTTTGTGGTTGAGCGATGCGGTTGGGCAGACGATGCACGGCGGATTGGGAGAGTCCGCGGTGAGGGAACCGTCTCGGGGAAGGAGGAGCGCGTCGTCGTCGAAGACTCCGGCCTTGAGAGAATTTTTTAGCGTGGCGTGAGAGGGATGTTCGAGCTGTTGGTGCCATGTTGCTGGGTCCGCACGGAAACCAGCTGTCTTCTGATAATATTTTTGTCGTGCTGCTTCGTCATTTGCCTCCCCTTCAGGTCCTGCGTCAGCGGCGTTGTCGGTGTCGGCGGCGAGCGCGCGGATTGCTTTTTGCTCCAAGAGCGCGTGGGGAATACCGATGATGTCATCGGTATCGCCGGCTTCGACTTTGTCTCCGGTGACGAGCAGGCACCTATCGGGCCAATCCCGAGCTGGGAGTCTCGTCATGGGAATCCTGGAGTAACTGTATTCAGCGCCGATGACCTCAATTTCGTGTAAGCCTTGAACTGGCGGCTCCGGCTCCTCGGTAGGTTCAGGTAATTCCGCTGGTTCTCCCATAAATTCGTAGGTCCCTTCTTCCTCTGACTCTCCTGCCATTGGCTTGGGTGTGTCAGGGGCGTATTGATCTGGGAGAGGAGGACCTCCCCAGCAGGTGCCGCGAGTTGCCCAGTATGGGTCGACGACGGCGACTTCCGCAGGAGGGAAGCCAGCTGCTCCGGCGTGCCCCTGTTTTGCTTCGGTCGAAACGCCTAATCCTCCTTCGGTGCCCCACGTGTCACCACCCGCTTCTGCTTCAACTGCTTCTTCTGCTGCGCCTTCGATTGCTGCGCCAACTTCCTCAGCTAGGGCAGGGGGAGTTCCACATCCATGTGCAGCAACTTCTTCCGTTGCGACGTTTCCCCAACCGACAGCATTCCACCCGCTTGTAGCTGCTTCCTCCGGAGTTAGGACTTCGCCCCAGGATCCGAGCGCGGGCCCGGATGTGTCCCAGGCCGGCCAGCGTGTTTCCGCCGACTTATTTTCTTCTGTTGGTTGTGTTGCAGGACCTGGCGTGCCGCTGTCTTCTTCCATTGTGGCAGGTCCGGTCTCTGCAGGATTGGAGGTCGAGGCGGTCGGAACGGTGCGCAGGCGCAGAAGGCCGTCAGAGGCGGGTCGCTCGAGGTCCATCTCGTCGGGATGTGACCATGTCGGCGGCTCCGTGAGAGTTGTTTTCAGCAGCAGCGTGCGGTGAGAATCGCCGGTGGTGCCCTGAGCCGAGAACTGCAGCACAAA